TGTCCGCATATGAGGTCCCCAATGGTACTTTGCTAAGAGATCCCTCTGTGCCAGCTGCTGGCGTGACGGTCATGCACGAGATTTCTGCGCCGCTGTTTCGTGTAAGAAGGGGCAGGCTCAGATTCTTTCTCACCGCCTGGGCCTGGTTCGAGGGCAGACGGAAAGTCAGGGAAGAGGCTAACGAACAGGACTGCTCCTGAGAACTTGGGTGGTCTAAGCACAGAGCAGTGGACCTGGTGTGTGGTTCTGACCTGGCACCACGAGGGAAGGGACTGAGTTCGGTTGTAGGATACATGACTGAACGGGGCTGGGCAGGGTGCAGGGGGCAGTGTGGCTCAGTGCAGGGCTGACCCTACGGGAAGGCTCCGGCCTCACTTCCGAGCCCCCCGAGTACGCCGTGGCCTGGGCTGGCCACGGCTGGGGTAGGTGGCCACGTTAAGACCCTGTTGGGAGCGTGTCTCTCTGTCTCTCCCTCTGTCTCTCTCACCACATCATCAAGATAACACCATGTCCACCTGGAGGCCTGTGAAACTCGACCTTCCGGGTATCTCGCGAGGGTGGAGCACGGCAGGGATCTCCGAGTGCCGTGACCGAGGGCTCGTATGTACCAGGGTACGTCAGCACACATCCCACACCTGTCACGCCTGCCCACACCTGTCACGCCCGTGCTTCCTTGGAGAGCACGCACAGCCCCTTGGAGCGCTGACATGCATGTGGCACTGATCACACTGGCCATGCGGAGCAGTCACCACCATCCCTGTCCACAGCACGGCCATCGCCCCCAGCAGGGACTATCGGAAACAGCAGCGCCCCTGTGTCCCCAGCCTGGAAGGCACCGGCTGTTCTGTCTCGCGGCATTTTCTTACTTTCGGTACTTCATGGAAATGGAATCATATGCTACCTGTCCTTCCGCGACGGGCTTATTCCACTTAGGACAATGTTTGCTTTTTGTTGTTAATTTGCCAGAGAGCAGCTGGTGAGATAGAGAGAAAGAGAGAGAGAACGAGAGAAAGAGACAGAGGGAGAAAACAGCCCTCAGTAGGGCGTGGTCACACCATAATCCCCCTTTCTTCATTTCTCCATCCTACTGCAACTTGGGGTGCACACGCACACACACCCTGCACGTTCTTCAAGTCAAGCATGTTTCGAGGGATTCGAACGACAGTCAGCCATGTGGGACCCAGCTCCCTTAACCACCAGGCCTCAGAGCTGGCCCAAGTACAATGTTCCGTCTCAGAAGAGGGGCCAGGTTTCGCCCTGGTCCAGAGAAGTCGACCAGGAGTCGGTAGGAAGGACATCTGTTGCCACTTACATATAATCACACCAAGAACCGACTGTGTGGGCAGGAACACAACAGGGGCTGGTCGAGGCCCATCGAGCCCAGTGGGCACCAACCTTCCGACTTCAGAGCCAGCCTACTCCTGATACACATGTGCTAACAGACCTGCGGAGCGGGAGGCCAGACTTCGAATCCCTGCCCATAAGCACCGGGCGCCGCCTTCCGAGAGACAGCCCGACTGCTCCCCTCCCGGCTGGAGAGGAGACTGGAGTACGTGGTCTTGATTATCACAGTGGAATAGCGCGGGGGAAGACCGAAAACACTGTGTTTCTGCCAAGATGACTGGACTTTTTAAAAATTATTTTTCCATCCACTTTTCCAGCTGATAGATAAAATGGCACAGAGGTTTCCAAGACCACTTTGCAGGAGACGTTTGGGGTAAGTGTTGAATGTTTTAGAGATTAGTTTGGTCTCATTTTTATGGATTGGGAGGAGGAAAAACGAAATTTCCACTCATCTCGGATTTGTGGATTAAAAGCACACATCCCAGCCTGTGGACGGTGGAGATCGTGGGTAGCTTTTGTGTCCTTCCAAGGGAGTGGCTGTTCCTCGGGGACAGGTCTGGAATCGCATTCTCACCATGTCCCGTCTGGTGGGCTGGGCCAGGGGCACGGCGGGGGCTAGAGTCAGAAAACGCAGTCACCAGGGAGCACAGCGTTACTTCCCAGACCCCGTGTCGCCTCGGGGATGTCAGCCTCGATCCCTCCTCACACGCGCAAGTACACATATGGGTGTTATTTTGAAAGGACCTTATGTTTTCTGAGTGGCAGGTATTTTTTAAGGGTTTTTATATTTTTTTAAGCTTTTACAATGTGCTGTTGACAGTGAAAACCATCTGAGATCCAGCAGTACCAAGATTTCCATGTGAATACACTTTTCTCCCACATACCACCTGTTACCGTCAGGGTTCTTGAAGGCAGCAGAAACCTGCTCTGGGTGGTTTAGGCAGCAGAGAAACTTACAGGAAGGCTCGTGGGTGTATCATGGACCTTATGGGAAATACAAGAGAACGGGGCTTCAAAAGTGGTCCGGAGTGAGAGGAGGTCAGTGAGAGGGCCTGGGACAATTTAGGGAGGACGCCACTGCTACAGAGACCCCTGCCTGCCCTGCTCCCCAGAACCTCAGTTCTGCCACCATCACGAGACCAGGATCCCGTCTCGGCATCTCACACCTCCCACACGCTCTGTCGCCCATGGGACACGGGGTCAGCGGGGCTGGGTGAGGCCATGCCCTCGCTGGGTGCCCTTCAACGTGCCAGGTAAGGGAGTTATCCTTAGATAACGAGATCTGTTAGTAGATCCTGCAGAGTCAAAGCTAAAATAGCACCTGACGCTAACTTCTCAGGGCCCCACAAACCCTCTACGCCACTAATGAGTATTTTCATTGACCCTCACTCTCCCGTAGTCTCCATTCTTTTCTATCTATCTGTTTTCTCATTGATTCCCTTTATAATCAACCATTTTAAAATGTTTCCTTCGATTTCATTTTTAAGGGTATTTGCTTCCATTCGCCCTAACCACGAATGCTATTTCCACGTGTAGGTGGCCACCCTTCTACAATGCTGCATCTTCCAGGCCACTCCACACTAGATGACTTCGCCTCTGGAAGTGAGACCACGGCAGCCACGCAGCGCCACAGCAATCGGGGAGGCTGCGCCACGTGGGGACGTCCGGGTTCGCCTCCAGCTGGGGTCAGTCCTAGCAGGAGGACCCCGACCGGGTGCCCTTCGCTCTCACGGAAGGCGTAATGGGAACTTAGGGAAAACCATGACCACATATCAAGAAAGCTGGCAGCTCAGCCAGGATTGCTTACAAACTCCGAAATATCTCCACTTCTCCTACTTAGTAGTCTCAAAAGTAAATATGCTACAACAGGGACCCTGACGGCTGCCCCAGAGAACCCTCCCACAAAGGCCAGAGCAGCCCGCGCCCTTCCCTCTGTCTCCCTGGCTGGCTCTGCCCCACCCAGCAGTCCCCGCCGGGCACCTGGAAATCCAGGGTGAACTCCCCTTCCCGCCCAGGATCTGCGCCCAGGGAAGGCCCACACCTGTCACCTGTGCCGCCCGGCATTTCCTGACGCTGCCCGCCCTCTCATCGCCGTCACTGCCGGACTAAGTGAGGCCCGGCCTCACCTCGTCCTGAGAGCCCGCTGACACCCTGGGCCTCGTTCCTTTCCCACACGCGGCATCTCCTGCCTGCTTTCCCAAGGACAGCTCCCCCAGTGCCCACCGCATCGTTCACTTCTCTGCCTGCCTGAGACATGCTGTCCCACCTGGTCTGCGACGAGGGGCCACCGGGTGGCATGGCAGTGGGGTCCTGGACTCCCATGTGGCTGACCGTGGTTCAAGTCTCCAACCTGGTGGCTTTCTCTGTCTCTGTCCCTCTCTGGTGAGTGCATGTGCCTTATAGCAAATTGAAAAACAATGGTAAATAAAATTAAAAATAATTCTAAAAAAAAAAAAAAACCTGGCTCAAATCTCACCTCTGCTTTTTTTCTTTTCTTTTTAGATTTTTGCTATAGGGCGCTGCACTCGCCAGAGACAGAAAGTGAAATCCCCCAGTGGGCACGACCACGCCGCAGTCCCTCCCTTCATTCTCCTCTGGGATGTGGGTATGCATGCACATGCTGGCATGAGTTTCAAGCCACCGGGTCCAGGACTCAAACCTCGGTCAGCCACGTGGCAGCCCAGGACCTTAAGCACGGCGCCACCTGCTGGCCCCGAGCCCTTCTTACCGTCCCTGTGACGTGCTTCCCTCTGCCCCAGCACTGTTCACCTGAACGCTTCTCTGACAGGGTCTCGTGGTTGCCGTCCTCCATCCCTGCCTCCCGAGGTGCTGGGTCGGAAGCACAGGCTGCTGCCTCAGCCCTCCGTCTGAACTGGGAATCAAACCCAGGCCCCCACAGGGCCCCAGCCTGCAAAGCACAGCCCTTAGCAGGCACACCAACCACGCCAGGCCCATCATGCAGTGTTTTGAGCATTTCTGAACTGCCCCGACGCGCGATTGTAACTGCCGGTGTGTATACCATGAGCTCCTTGAGAAACTCACCCCAACACCCCGACTCCCACCTCCAGCACGGAGGGCAGAAGTCTGGGACTCAGTACTCAGACCGCCGGTGTCTCCAGCCCACTGCCGTCCTGTCCCACGGGTCCACGTTTCCTGACTCCACACGGGGATGGAGCCTGCGACCAGTTCTGCCTCGTGCACTAGCTGAGCCAGAACCTCCACGGGCCTGGGAGTGCGTGTGCACTCCTCTCCTCGGAGACCCCTTGCTGACCCGGTGCCATGGGTGGTGGCAGCTCACCCTGCATGACTGGGGGAGCAGAACCTCCAAGAGAGGGAATTAGCCTCTTCATGTGAGCCGCTGTAACGTAGAGACGGTTTCTGCGCAAGCCACGTACTAACTAAGCAGTTAGGGACCCTGTGCCCAGCCCTGGACGGACTGCTACACAGGTGTCACGTATCAGAGCTATCGGGGGAAACCGGCTGGGTTTCTGCTGGACGAAGAATGCTTATTATTTTCCTTCTTAAAATGAGAGCCCCGCTGCATGACTCAGTGTCCGGACCCACGTACTGGGCTCCAGCCACGCAGGACGCCACACTTCCCTCCTCCACCCACTCCCCACACGGGGCCAGGGTATGTGCAAATAAAACAGCATAAATAGCGTCACATAAGAAGCCGGAAATGTAATTTTATTGAATAAAGTCCATTCAGCGCAGACACAGCTCAGAAGAATACTTAGATTATAATCACTGAAAGATCAATAGCTGATTGGAAGAAATAAAGAAAGCAGTTTGTATTTTCAATGTAGAAAAAAAAAATCTAATTGCTACAGATGTCTTGTAAAATTCCCCAAACAAGACCTAGGCCAGGTTTATTATTTAGTAGCTTTCTCTTTTCCACTTTGAAAGGATGAAAAGTGAGTCAGGGAGTGAATACTGGTTACAACTAACACAACAGCTCGAAAACTCAGGAGACAGAAGCATAAATACGATATAAAAAGACAAGATTTTAAAACCGTGTTGCAGGAACCTGAACTGACAAGTGGGAGAGACACATTAAAACCAGCAGGGTCACACTAGTTCGACAGGACTCAGAAGGCAGGCTGGGACTGAGCTGAGTGAAGTAAACGGTCTGCTTCCAGGAAGTGCATTCAGCAGACCCCGCCACAGCGAGACGCAGCGGCGGCACGTGGTCCCCTCGTTACTCCTGACCGTCGGCCGTCGTCGCTGGAGTGGCGGCGCTGTCAGGCCTTCTCCAAGGACTTGTAGTACTCCGTCAGCACGGCCCACGCTTTGGGGGCCATGAAACCTTCAGGAGGCTTCTGGCCTTCTCGGGCGAGTTTGCGCATCCGTGTTCCGGAAATAAATTCAAAGTCTTCGTGGCTTTAAAAAAAGAGAGAGAGAAAATGATTTCATAGTTTTGGAAACTTAGTTACAGGGGATATTTTAAAAAGCATTTGTTCCCTCTGTTCATATTAGATGAAGTTAATGAAAAGAACCTATTGGGCCACTGGAAAAATCATGCCGTATTTCTCCATGCAAAAATGTGTCCTGGCTTTTCTGACAGCCCAGAGGATGACGATCAATCTGCTTTCAACCTTGTCACTGGGCAAAACACGTCGCGCTATCGACTGCCACTCATTTTTAGAAGCAGGAAAAAACCCCATCTGTGTATGTGTGTGGTTGTGTGTGTGTGTGGGGGGGAAGTGTGTGAGGGGTGTGTGTGTTAGACAGGGTCTCACCGTGCTGTGGTCTCCTGCCCTAGCCTCCCAGGTAGCTGAGACCCAGGCAGGCTCCTCCAGGTCCGGCTTTCTCCGACAGGATCTTGCTATTCTGTCCGCCCCAGCCCCAAACCCGCCATCTTCCTGCCTCAGCGTCCCCGGCATCTGGGACTGCAGGCACATGCACAGGCCGGCTCTTCAGGGCGGGCTGGGGATTGAACCTAGGCCTCCCACGTACCCAGAGCAGCAGCACCCTGCTGCACAGAGGCCAGGCCTAGGGAAACTTTAGTGGAAAAGGCATTTTTAAAACATTTGACAGAGGGCGTGTGCAGGCACCAGGGGAAAAGAGAGGAGCAATAGAAAGAGAAAGCACTCCCCACCCACAGGCAGTGGCCACGCCACAACCCCTTCTCCTCCATGTCCCCCTCCTTTCCAGACTGGGCACACGCACATGCACCTGCCATGTTTCTCAAGTGTCTGGGTCCAGGACCTGAACCGCATGGCTGGCCACGGGGGTAACACGGTGGCTGGGAAGTTGTTCAGAGCTCACTACAGACTCTCACGACGTTGTCAAAAATAATACAACAAGACCCGTGGGCCCTTTGCTCAGCTTCCCCGAGTGGCAACGTCTTGCAAAACACAGCACAACAGCACAACCCGGGTATGAGCATGGACGTGATCTGCCAGCGCGGGTCACACTCAGGCCTGTGTGCGAGCTCACTTCCACACGTGTGGGCTCACGCATTTACCACAGGGTGAGCTGCAGAAGAGCTCCAACACCAGGACAGATGCTGGGCTGGCCTCTTCTAATGGAGCCGGAGGGTGCTCTAATCTGAGAGTCTAAAAGCATACTTGTTTTAGCGTTAAGTAGCAATAATCAATGTTTCTCCACTGATGATATACCACAGAGGTTACCAGCTTCTCGCTTCTCCCACGTCCAAAAACCCACACATGACCCAGATCATCGAGCACAGAGCGGCCATGGCACACGGTCTACCTGGACTTCAACCTGTTCCCTCCAACGCGGGACCGATCTAGATGGCCAACCAGGCCCGGCAGGATCTCTGGCTGGCTCAGGCTGCAGTCCCGGCCCCTCTGACGTCCCGTCAGCACCTGCATGTCCCCCCACCTGAGCCATCTGTGGAGCCACCCTGAGGGCCCAGCAGTCAACAGCCGAGTGGCCCTGCTTCTCCAGGCGTGCCCAGTGTACGTAGCGGACGGTCACGCTTTCAGGAACCTACCCTAAGGAAACCGTCCGAGAGGCAGACGGACATCCTGTGTACGACGGTAGCTGAAAGTTGTCCCATAATAGCAAAATGCTCGACGTAACCTGAAGGTCAAAAGGACCCAGGTAAATTACGGCCCTGCCCTGAGCAGAGCATTACACAGCGATGAACGTAAGACTCAGATAAGGCACTCATGACGCAATTAACAGTAATCATAAATAATATCGGTACCGACTGTCTCTGTACCCTGAAATGCCTGTGCTGAGGCCCCAATCCCCAGCGTGATGGTGTCAAGCAGTAGGGCCTGAGGCCAGCCGATGGCAGAGTGGTTGTGTTGCTGGACTCCTTAAATGTCCGACTGCGATTCAAGTCTCTGACCTGGTGACTTGAAACTAATGCTAGGCATGTGTCTTGAGCATGCCCAAAATCTTGGGAGAAGAGTGGAGGAGAAGGGGTTGGGGCATGG